GCAGTCAATCCAATTCTGTTTTCTTTCTTTTTTTCTGACTTGGAAACTTAGAAAATCATAAGATGAGCGAATATAATCAAACTGTTTATCAGAGGAAAAGTGTGATTTTAAGGATACTCTACCCTAGCATTGGCTAACGTTAGCTTATAAGAAGTTGTTGTTGTTGTTTAGCCGGCTCACTGTTAGGTATCCAGAGTTGGGACAGTTGCGTAGAAGAGGATGAGATGAAGCAGAAACATCCTTAACTGTGGTTCATGCCACCACACCTGACCAACGTTTATCGGCAAGGTAAGGTTTCTGGCTTTTTACTGCATCACGCACAATATTACCAGACTTACATTTTTAAGTAGAAAAGTAAAACACCACAGATTGCACAGCTATTACCTGGATGATTGCGCAGGCATCAAGACATCAGAGTTCAAAGAGTAAGAGGTGTGGCCCAAAATGTCTTTTTATGTAGTGTACACCACATTCTCACACCAGTGTCTGACTACACAGGTTGATATTAATTCATTTACTTTCAGATGAGAGGAACCGCTGAACACGAGATTATTACAAACTCGACTAATGTCAAAAGGCAGAATTATGGTTACGGTAAAAGAAAAGACGATGCTAGGAAGCCTGCCTTTCGAAGCGACGTGTGAAAGAACTACAGAAGAAGCAAACAGGTAAACAGAGAATGAGAGATTTCCAACAAGATGTGATATGACAGTCTACAGATAAATATGAAATACTGTGAAATACTTATTTTTTTTAAAGATAACTGAAGGACAAAGACATTAAAACTGCCAACAGGATGCAGCAAAATGTTCGAGAGCTCTCTCATGCATCTCCCTCTGTGTGCCTCTTCTCTTTCTCTCCCCGTGTTGTACAAACTATCTTAATGGAAATCACCTCTCCATCTGAGACAGACGAGTGGCCCCAATCTGATCAGTTATTTACCTTCCTTCCATTTCCCTTTGTTCACTCATTAACACACAAAAACCACAGCGGCATTTTGAATCTCTCTTTAAGTCTGCCCTCCTCTACATCAAGTTATGCGCTGGTTTTTGTGTCATTTTACAGAAGCCGATAATCTCTATGGGTTTAGTGCCTTTACAAATGAGTGTGGAGGTGCAGTATGAGCATTTAAGAGATCTTTACCACACATGAGGGCTTCCCTGTATAGCTAAGCATCTGTGCACGTGTGCTGTTGAAGAAGGCGCTACACATGCTGGGTCCTAAAAATGCATGAGAGAGAACAGACACGGAGACATGAGAGCTCCCAAGTGATATAATGGCTCTCCTTTGGGTTTAAATCAGCAAGAAGAACGTGTTACCTGGTGCAGTGTAATGCAGAAGAGGAAAGAGCACCTATTTTATATCTCAGACTCTCGAGCCTCAGAGCCCACTCACGCCTCTGCTGTAGGTGGTGCTGTGACACACACCAACAAAATGAGGCTGAATACTATAGTTCTAACTTATAGCTTAAAAAAAAGAAAAGAAGTGTCTAACTAGCAGGGCGACAGGCCATCAGCATCCAACCTAAAACCTCCGAGCCTAACAAATTTATCTGAATAAGGGACCACCAAACTACAAAGCCTTTTGCTGAGAAATGAGTACCCAACTTTAGGAGGTTTGGCTCCCCCGAAAACACAACAGAAAGCTCCTGTCTCTCCCTGACACACATTCAACAAACCCCTCTAACACACTGTGCATGCATCACCCAGGCTTACAGCAGCCCTCTGTGCCTCTCAGAAGTAATAACAGCCAGATAACAAACAACTTTTAAGGTGCAATTTCAGCTTGATGGACTTTAACTAAAACTAATTCTGGTGATAGACAACAAACAAAACTCATCTGCAGTATTTACACTGTCCAAAATCTTTCTTTGTAAGAGAGGTTCATTAGTGCATCAACTAAAAGCGTACAGCCATATTCTCGGTCAGGAAAAAAGGCAAATAATATATACAAACATAAATTATTTCTCTGGCTTCAAATAAATATCATAACATCAAGAAAGCACTGCCATAATTGTTCTAATAGCCAGATGCTAAGTGGTTCTCCAGCCACATTCTTTATGCTGACTTAAGTGTATGCTGAACAGCCAGAACACAGTGTTCGCTATTCAAATGTTTATGTGACAGAGCAGCAGGACCATAAACAAAACTGTATTGCAGGTGGTGTGGGGGGTGTAGATTCATCTTGATACAACAGTGACATCTTGTGGGCACTTACAAAAATGCTACTCCAACAAAATCCATTTAACACACCAACCACACAATCAAGTGTTGCTTCTCTTAAAAATAAAGCATAAAATCCACCTTATTCAGATGAGTATTTAGTATGACCTGCAGCAATGTTTTTAAACACAACCTGAAAGGATTATTCTCCACTAAATAATATGAAATACTAAATATCTTTATAAAGGAAGGATGGTTACTCCTGTTTCCTTTTACCAACGAGTCCAAGTACTGAAATTTAGCACTCAGTTCATTATGGAAGCTTGCTTCCACCACTGAGAAAAACAAAAC